TCTACCGTGAAAACTTCCCCAAAGAATGGCTTCTAACTTTTCCTTGCAAAGTTGAATTTGCATTTGTAAAGAGGAGATGTCTACGAAGAAAAAAAAAGAGGAAACTAACTGAGCTGAAATGATGGATGACAGTCGATCCGCAACTCTATAGAGATATGTCAGTCATGGACAACTCTCAAGAGATGATTCTAACTGGCGTCAGAGAGGGCGCGAGAGAGAGAATGGTTAGTGCGAGATAGCAAGGGGGGCCATCCTAAATGCGGGGGATGGGGGATGGATTGATGAGAACATGTCGGTCTAGTCATAATCGTAAGTTGTAGCGCCCGCTGAGCCATAGGCCAATTCCATGACGATTCTCCAGAAAGTCGTCGTCGTCGTCGTCCTCGTCGCCACCGTCGGCATCGCCGTTGTCGTCGGCATCATCATTGGCGTCGTGGTTGTCGGCGGTGGATGCGATAGTCGACGACGGCAAAGGTGTAGTGGTGTATCGATTCTGGGCCGCTTCCGTTAGAATTGCCTGCCAGAGCAAAGCCATCAGGTAGGCCATGCGTGGCCGGTTCACATGGCTCGTGCAGAGTACTTATTGGGTTAGCACGATAGCCACCCTAAATGCTCAATTCCCCTATGATGGATGTACCCCCAAATGTTGAAAGACGATGTCCAGGTGCTCGTGCTCGCGAACGAGGCCATTAAAGCTCGACGTTACCCCGTAATTATATCGCCATCAAGGAAGTCGCATAGAGAATCTGCCCGTACCACTACTTGCTAGAGATTCATTTAATTTAATCGGAAATAGTGCGTCGGGCAAGAAACGTTTCCCAACACATTCACAGCCTACGGATCGATCATTGCATGAAGGTTGGACTGGGCTGGAAATCGGATTAGAATCGTTTTGGAGGAATTTAAATTTGATCAGAGGGTCTAAGAAGTGACTAGATTCTAAGAAAAGTAGGATTTTCCCAGTGGTGTGTCGGCACAGGATACGTTCCCAGTCGTCGTTGCCATAGCAATCTGTGGTGGTGACCAGTTTGCGTGATTATCAAATCCAACTCACCTGCTTACTGCCTACATCTAATACCTACAACCAAATCCGGTAAATCTGCACAACCAACTGGGAAAAAGGAGAAGAGAAATCGGCAATGGGGATTCAGCAACGGAAATGAGAAAAGGAAAAAATTATGGATTGGAGAAGAAGAAGATGATGGGAATGGAAGTGGCGGGGAAAACCCTCTTTTCAGGCTTCCCAAAGCTGTCCATTGGGTGACAACAAAATAGAAATTTCGGGAAAGCTCGAATTACAATAAATTCCCAAGGCGGATCCAGGCGAATAGCTCCAACAGGAAATTTTGCCACGGGAATGAGCAGAGAGCTCTCCAACAGAGCCATCTTTCTGCCTGATTTACGTGTAGGCGGTGAGGGTGTTGGGAAGGCCCAGCTATTGCTCATCGGGTGGTTGTTTTTAGATGCAAAACGAAGACGTATTGGATTAGAGAAATCGCTTCAGTTTAACTGATTCCTAGGATTACTGGGCCTTCTATTTGAAGTTTAGCTGGAGTTGAGAGGTGCTGAACATGCATGGGTACTTGTGGGTGGAGGACAACAGAAGTTTACGGGGAAGTTTTCCAAAAAAGACAGGGCTTTCCAAAGAAAACGGTGGACATATGAATCTTCAAGAGAACAAAGGCTTTGCAATCGGCTTCTTTTTTCGTCTTCAATTTCGTCCGTTTTCTGACGCCATGTTGACTTTCACCCTATGGGCGCACTTAGAATAGCCCCCGAGGGTGTAATTGAGCAACATGAAAGAGTGAAATACGTTTCCATTGAGGGATAAGCTGAAAAACCCCGATGCAACTGCCAAAGCAATTGTGCCGTCTCCGCTGGCTCCCAGACAGGACTAAGGTCTCGTCTTCCATTTTCCCAAGACTGCCTAATGAACAGCCAAACCTCTGCTGATGGGAAATGGGCAAAACAAGGCTGATTCCAGAGG